CATCTAGGCATGCGGTTGGAATCCTGAATGTTGAATGACACCTGGGAGACCCAAATAGGTCGCTTCCAGGGCTAGGTGTGAACGCCCACAGCTTGCAAGGCTCGGATTTTGCACGGAGGCATGGTTCTCTAAGCGCCTCCTTAACCGTATTGCGGCAATTGGGCGCTGGGGCTAAAATTTTCGCGCCATATCGGCGGTTCTAGGTCAAATGGTCATGTGGAGGGAAAGATTCCCATTGTCCCCACCTATCCAATTGACTGGTTGGGTTTGCACCGGTGCCCAATGCCAACCATTCATGGCGTCGTTGGAGCGTGACCTGTGTTCTATGAGGAAGTCGTCGAGAGTGGTGCTCAACACATATAACACATAGTGTTGCCGCTTTCAAAGTTCCACGACTCCCAGTAGTCCGAGCCTTACCAAGTCCCTCCGACTCTGATTCCCGTCCTCTGGTCGAGTCGGGCTCTAGGAAGGTGGGAGAGTGACCCTCCTCTTTAGTTTATTCAAGTGGGAGTGAATGATTTACATGCCCATGGAGGGGCTTATATAGCCTATGGGTCCTTGACAAATAACCGATGCTACGCTTGAAAAGAGGTGGGAGGGTAGAACGAGGTAATCTTTGATCCATGAGTCCATGGGCTCCTAGTTGGGCTAGGAGGGGAGTTGTAGCCCATGGAAGTTAGATTTTGTCAACCATATGAAGGCTTTCTTGCTTGGGCTTTGGGCTTCTTTGGTCTTTCGCCTTCATCTTTGACTTGTTCTTTTATGTGCTCTCCTTCTTTTGACTTTTTGACCATAAAGACTTCCTTTGACTTTCATTGACCAAGGTAGCTTGTCTGGAGCCATGGTAGCTCGCTTGGACTTTCGTTGACCTCTCTGGCTTGTGTTGACTACTTTTGTTTTTTGTTGACCGGCCACGTGGATTGCTATGTAAGACTTATGTGGGACCCCCGGTATAACTTTAGTTATTTCTCAACAGTAAGATAATGTTAGAATGCCATATTAATTGATTTCTAAAAGCTGCAAGCTTGAGTAAGCAAAGGCTGAGAAACTATACAACGTGTTTGCAAAACTGAAGATAATTGATTTAGTGTTGTTTCATTCTAAATTTTTTGTCCTGGGTGCAGGCTCAGTATATAATGAGTCCGCGGTTGGGGACGTACCCCAACTTAGCATAGACAAGAATGAGATATGGTCTGCTCCGTTTACTGAGAAAGAGGTGTTTGAGGCAGTCACACAAATGAAACACGATAAGGCTCCTGGTCTGGATGGTTTACCAGCAGAGTTTTATAAGAGATGCTGGCATATCATCAAGGATGACCTCATGCCTATGTTCCATGAATTGTTTAACGGCAACCTACAACTTTTTCACCTAAACTTTGGAACAATAACATTGTTGCCAAAGAAGGAGGAGGTTGTGCGCATTGAGCAGTTCAGGCTGATTTGCTTACTCAATGTGAGTTTCAAAATTTTCACTAAGGTAGCCATGAACAGGTTGGCGCAGATTGCCCATTCGGTGGTGCACCCAACACAATCTGCGTTGATGCCGGGGAGACACATCCTAGAAGGGGTGATTGTCTTACACGAAACTCTGCATGAAATCCATTCAAAGAAACTTGATGGGGTTATCTTCAAAGTGGATTTCGGGAAAGCATACGATAAGGTCAAATGGCCTTTCCTCCAGCAGGCCTTACGCATGAAGGGGTTTGACGATGCTTGGAGGAAACAGGTCGACACCTTCAATCAAAAAGGAAGTGTTGTAATTAAAGTGAATGATGACATAGGTCAACAAGGGCTTACGACAGGGGGACCCGATGTCTCCTATTCTGTTCAACAAAGTAGTAGATATGTTGGCAGTCCTTATTGGTCGGGCCAAGGAGAATGGCCAAGTAGGAGGACTAGTTCCGCATCTGTGGATGTGGGAGTATCCATACTACAATACGCTGATGATACTATTATATTCATGGAACATGATCTCGCAAAGGCTAGAAACATGAAGTAGTACTTTGCCTATTTGAACAATTGTCGGGACTGATAATTAATTTTAACAAGAGTGAATTGTTCTGTTTTGGGAGGGCCAAATAAGAACAAGATGCGTATAGATAACTGTTTGGATGTGAAATGGGTTCCCTACTATTCTCGTACCTAGGGATACCAATTCACCATCGGAAATTATCGAATAAGGAGTGAAAGTGCCTTGAAGACCGATTTGAGAAAAAACTAAGCTGCTGGAAGGGCAAGCTTATGTCATATGGGGGCCGGCTAGTGTTGATAAATTCAGTTCTAACTAGTATGCCATGTTACTCTTATCTTTCTTTGAAGTGCCAGTTGGGGTACGAAAAAGATTAGATTTTTATCGATCTCGGTTTTTCTGGCAATGTGATGAAGTAAAAACGAAATACAGATTGTCCAGATGGGATATAATTTGCAAACCCAAAGACCAAGGTGGACTAGGCGTTGACAACTTAGAGGTTAAAAATAGATGCCTACTTAGCAAAAAGCTATTTAGGTTGTCTGTTGAGACCGAGGGTACATGGTTACAAATTTTGCGTAATAAGTACCTACAATCCAAGACATTGGCCCAGGTTACTGTAAGACCTAATGACTCGCCTTTCTGGAAGGGGTTAATGAAGACGAAAGAAGACCTTTTTCAGAGGGTGAAGTTTAACGTTGGTAATGGCAACGGTACAAGATTTTGGGAAGACACATGGTTAGGGGTGATGCCTTTAGCTCTACAATATCCCACGCTATATAATATTGTACAACATAAGGAGGCCTACGTAGCTACAGTACTACAGCCGGTTCCACTAAACATTCAGTTCAGGAGGGCTTTAGTGGGGGAACGTTGGCTCTCTTGACTTCATCTGATGCGTAGGTTGATGGATTTTCAACTCTCGCACTAGCCAGATACCATCCACTGGAAATTATCCATGAACGGTGAAATCTATGTACTTGGACTTAATTAACTCTGGGTCAATAACGAGATCACTTCACATATGGAAGGTTAAAGTTCCGTTAAGAATCAAAATCTTCATGTGGTTTGTACACAAGTAAGTGATTTTAACCAAGGAGAACTTGATCAAGCGAAGATGGGTGGGTAGTTCACGATGTTTTTTTGTGACTAGAATGAAACCATAAAACACCTCTTTCTCGATTGTCCTCTGGCCAAACTACTTTGGCGCACGATACACATAGCCTTCAACGTTAGCCCTCCAATTAGTATCGACACGTTATTTGGGACGTGGCTAACCGGAGTGGAATCAAATATTGCCGGACATATTCGGATAGGGATATGCGCACTACTTTGGGATATATGGAACTGCAAAAATGGTATCATCTTTAATAGGAAAAATTTCATCAACCTTTTGCAGGTTATATATAGAGCCACTGCTTGTATCTGTATGTGGTCGTTACTCACTCATGTGGACTCGAGGGAGCTTTTGCCTATTGGGTGCAACCGATGAGAGACGGTAGCACGGGTTATCTACAACCGGTATGGATGGCGATCCAATAATAGGATAGGTGTTTAGTCATCTAGGCCTATTTTTCGCCGGTTGTGGCAGTTTTTGTTTTATCTTTGTTCGTTTTATGCTCCTTCTGTGAGCCTTTACTCAACTTAAGACTTTGTTTTGGATCTTCAGTTAAATAAAATGGCTTCATGCATCATTCTGATGCAGAGGCCGGGGGATGTCCTCCTTTTCGAAAAGAAATAATAACAATAATCCGTTGCCAATTACACTTTATTTAACTTGTATGCTGTAACTATGTTAGATATCACATTCAATGTTGCATTAGCTAATTGTGATTTTTCAGTATATATTGTCATTAGTACATCTAATAATGATTAATGAGGAAAATTAGCAAGTATAAGGAGGTTTCAGTGAGCACTGATGGATTTACTCTACTACTCTGATATTAAACGTCACTGTGTGATGAAACCCACAGGATTTAAAGACATTAGAGCTATATGAACACTTAATTAAGCTACCTTTAAAGCCATGAAAGCATCCTCCATGGCACGTCGTCGAACAACCATGTCAGCTCGTCGCAGATCTGCCTGGGTTTGCAAATAGCTGTTGTATTAGATCAGCATGAAACCATGGATTAAACAGTAACATACTAATAGCATATTAGCATGGTTATTAAACAATTTAAACGGGTACTACAATGACATATATATGGGTGCAGCTTTATCGACAGTATGAATGAGAAACGTATGTTACTTAAATCTATTAACTACTTCCTACAAAATGAGTGAAGAAAGAATTTGTATAGACCTACCTCCAAAGCACCATCACTCCAATGTTGATCTGCTGCTTTCTTCAAGTCTGAATGAGCTCGCTCCTTCAATATCTGATTATGTACAGAGGTCAAATTAACATATTAGAAGTATAACGAAACCAATATAACACATAGAAGGCATATGAAACATTCCATACGAACAGATCTAGTACATACTCTAGCAAAATTGGTTAGGTGGGCTGCCCGTTCCTTCACACTGTTATCAATCTTTCGGGTGTCCTTCCTTGCACGAGCTTTCAGGCAATCTTACATTTAGATGAGGAATTAAATCTTATGGAAGGAAAAACTTATAGCTTGTTATGTGAAAGAGCATGTACCATCAAGCTTGAGAAACCCCAATCCTAATACAGCAACATCCTTAGATGCACGTTTGTTCAACCTTGTGATGCCACTAAGAGTAAAAGGATTTCAGATATCAAAATTCAGAATAGCAAAACAAATAAATACATTGTTTCTACCAAGGAAAACAATTACATGAGGGAATATCAATGATGCACAGGGAACAAGAGTACCGTGAAAGCAAAAGAATATCACTCTGAGCTCTTTCATTCACAAACTTTGCATCATTATAGACAAATTGGCACGCTTTAGACAGCCCTTGAGTAGAATATAGTGTTTTTTCCTGAGCTGCAACTTGACTATCTGAAAAATGTGACATTCCTCTTGGATGCTCATCAAAATCCCTGCAACAGAAGATTAAGAATATGGAACTAAAAAATGACGAGCTATATCTGCTTAATGACCATGTGCAGTTTACCATATATGATTTTAGAATTCTGGTACAGAACTTCAGTTTATGTTGGAAGAAACTAGACATTTCTGAAAATCATGAAACTACTATATAAAACTAGAGGAAGTCTTCTTTGACACTGAAATTGTTTCTTAGTCTTCAGCTGACTGAGTTTAATATTACAAGTCGAAAAAATAGGATGAAGCATTATGATAGCAGGCGTTAGCTTTACGATAATATGCATTGCATGAGTTCAGTGTAAACGAAATAAACTACAGACAAAGTATTCAATATTATCTTTATTTTTCATGCTAACAAAGGTACATGGATTCTGACAGATTATTCGTTTGTGTGCGAATGTGTGTGTATACCTGTAAGGATTGTTGCCATCTTCAGGAATATTGCACTCTTTAGTTTCACTGGCACTACGAGAACCATAAGAATGGCACCAAACATTCGGACCTTGTTGGAGTAGGTAACCATTGGACTTCGCATTCGTTTTCCAATGCCTATCGTTTGGAAAGGACCTGATGATATGACATCCGTTCATCCACTTCCTTACCTCTACCTCTAGTGGTAAACAATTCGATGCTACGCAGCGTAGTGCTTTCAGCTTACACGGCATTCTGTGTTTATCATTATAGCACACCCCACTAGATGCTATGGTACCAGATATTTGGCTAGCCATATGTGTCGATCTGTATGTCTACTACAGATTATGAACCTTTGGCCTGACAAAATCTCTATGCCTTCATTTAGCAGATTTTCAGCCAATTTGAAACGGATATTTCAGTACCTGATGTCAATGGCATTAGTTTCACGTCAAAACAAATGAATACACATAGACCAAGAGTCTACTTTGCAGTGCACAAACTTATGTCTACATAATACAGGTACAGATGATCATTTCTAGACAAAATGTAAGAAAATAATAAATAATAAATGCATCAAAGGTGGCACATGGGGGATAATATAGGTGGTCGATGTCAGCAACTATATACTACTCCCCCCTCGAAAATAAGTGTCACAGTTTTGAGCTTGTTTTGAACTGGGGTTAGTTCAAAACTGCGACACTTTTTATGGAAAGGAGGTAGTATATATTGTTAGGTTGATCTCCTCCCGATCGAGCCCAACGGCTCGCCGGGCCCTTCCGATCGAGCCCAACGGCTCGCCGGGCCCTTGACTCGCGCCCTGGTCGGGGCGCCCAACCAGTGTTATACTCCGTAGTTTCTTATTCTAATAACTGACGTGCATAGTATTGTCGGGATTACAGCTACATACGGAATGAAGTTGTACGCTTTGTGACACCATGAGAAATTATTTCTAGTTTAACATTTTTCTTTTGAGCCGCTAGTTTAACATTGTTGGGAGTGAACACATAGTGATTCACAAAGCAGACCCCAAAAACAACACTGGCCTCTCACAAATACAGTCTCACTCGAGAAACTGGCACACAAATCACACACGCTACCTGCAACACAGCACACTCGGCAGTACGAACGACTATCATGGCATGCAGATGCAGGATGCATCGCTGTCTATGCCTAGCAAAGGAAACCACACAAAGGAAGTAGCGATGAGAAGGACAGCGCCTGCACTTACTGTTTCATGCGAAGGAGTTTGGAGACTGGGGAAGGACGAGAGGGAGGAGCAAGGGGGGAGGGAGATCAAGCGCGATAGTACAGGGAGCAAGGTAGGGGACGCTAAGGACGAACGAGAATGGGAGGGAGAATCCAGAGGCGCGGGGAGGCCACACATGTTGGGTGGCGAAGTGGCATGGCAGCCACCAGTTGTCCCTGCGGCGGGAGGGAAGCCAACGGGCTGGGACCGCGTTACTATGATCCGATATTCTATGGCCACGATTTCATTGCCCGTGACAACAGGTTGACGGTTAGAGCAACTCCAACTGCGAGACCCATTTCATCCGCCCACGTCTGTTTTGGTCGGTCCGGACAAAAACGTCGGCCCAAAGCGCTGACCCATTCTCAAAATCCGTCCAGTTGGCGTTCGTGCAAACCCATTTCAAGCCCAAAATTGCACCAAAAATGCGTCGGACACGGACACGCCGCGCGTCCCCTCAATGTCCGCCGCAGTCCCACTTGTCGAGCGCCCAACCACCACCCACATCTTATTAAATGTCAGCACCTACCTCGGGGCCCACCTGGTAGTGTGTGGAAGGTCTGCGAGCCCGTCCTTTTTAATGGAAGCGTGCGGCGGGGCCGGCTTCATCCACTTCCAACGTCCGTCCACATCTGGCCACACCGTGCTCCCTCGCCGGCGACCAGGAACCCTAGCAAGCCCAAACCACCATGGGGTTATTTAGGTGGCGCAAGGGGAGGGGGAAGCTGACCCCCGGTGCGAGCTCTTCCCGCGGCTCGCCGGCTCTTCCGCCGCCGCCTCCTAGACGCGGCTCGCCATCGGAGCGGCAGCGTCTGTACATACCAGGCCACCAGGCGCAGTGGCACTGGCAGTACCGCCGGCCACTGCAGTATCTGGAAGTCAACCTGCCTCATGGCTGGCATCTGGATCCGCAGCAGATCCCGATTCTGGCACTGCCACGCACGCCGCGGGCGCACGCCGAGGAGGTTCGCCGGCTGCGCGAGGCCCTCACTCCGGAGTAGTGGCGGATGCGTGCGTACGCGCCAGACTCCCCCAACTGGGAGCGCTGGTTCCCGCTAGAGCACGAGGAGGAGCGCCGCCAGGGCATCCACGTCGACCACGACGTTCCTCCACCGCCGCCTGAGGTTCTGCCGCACGAGCAGGACGAAGAGGCGGCGTACCAAGCCGCCCTCGCACTACTAGGGAAAATCCTAGCAGTAGCGCGGGTTTAATGCCTATAAGTAGCGCGGGGAACCACGCTACTAGTAAGGCGCTACAGCTAAAGGTTAGCAGTAGCGTGGGTTAGGCCACGCTATTGCTATATCGACTTAGTAGTAGCGCTTTCTACAATGACCGCTACTGGTAATTAGTAGTAGCGCTTCTCCCAGCACGCGCTACTATCATTATTCCATATTTTACTTCTTTTTTATTTAATATTGTATTCATACACCTTTATACAAGTTTTCATACCGCAGCAATTTAGAGATTGTTTTTACATCATAATGAGTTATTACATCACTGGGAGAAAGAACCTTGGACTAGTTTCAAGTGGATGGACATCCACTTGAAACTAATCAGCGGTTCTTTCACCCAATGATATAATAAATATCATCATCATCATATCATTAAAAACTTATCATCATAATACATAATTGTCATATAACACATCCTCATGATCATCGTTTTCATCAATGAGACATCACATAGCAAGTTGGTCACTAGTCATAATCACAACTACTCCTCATCATCAACTCTCATCCTCATGATCATCGTTTTCATCAATGAGACATCACATAGCAAGTTGGTCACTAGTCATAATCACAACTACTCCTCATCATCAACTCACATAAACATATTGTACCTCATAGGACCTACTACATTCTCTTAGGACCTACTATATTCTCTTAGGTAAAATAATATAAAACAAGATAGCCTCTGACTCTCCATTATGGAGAATGGAGATTATCCTGTCTCCAATTCTTGCCTTTCGCATAATGTTGCTTCCAAGAACCTCCTTACGACTATCCATATATTTTTTTCCATTATTTGATTATCATGTGTTCACCGGTTTTAGAAATCCGGTATGGACAGGTGAGATTCATAGGATGACCTGGTTGTATGTTCAAAACATCAAGGCGACCATTCTGATACATCAAATGAGGCACACAATCCATCGGGATTTTCTGTTGAAAAACATAGTAATAACTTCATAGTTAGCAATGTAGTTCAGTTTTAGAAGTATGCAAAAGATGCACGGATGTCGTAATAGTAAAAAAATCTTACCAGGGGAAGTTATCGTGGTTCAACACGTGCACTAGTGGCACGTATTGACCATAATGTGGATGCGTCTGATAATAGACATTGTAATTCTCAAGGTTAGTACAATATGCGACCAGATGATTTCTCTCCTGATAAGTTAACTCAGAGCCATCGGTGTAGTAGGTTCTGTCTACCATCTTCCACACATTAAGCTGTCAACTATTTTGAAATAAACAATATAAACTAGTTAATAACTATGTTTGAGAAACTCACATAGCGGTAGAATTGGAAGTGTATCAACAAGGACCCAAATGTCCAAATTGTCCACCTCGATGTCAGGATCACCAAGATCCATAGTGACAAACATACCCTCTTGAAAATCATACATCTTGCAAAGTGCTTCCCAACCCGGGCAACCAAAATGGATACGCTCTCAGAATTGTATAGATTTACCTCAAAATCCATACCATGATGGGTCCTTAGGTTAATTTTCTTTGTTTCATTCCTCTCATGATCTTCAAAACCCATCCTCTCCAAGACACGGCGTCTTGCATGGCATGGGATAAGCTAGTCGAATTGTAAAAGACGAAAATTACACGTTGAAGTAGTAGAAGTCGAGCTTAATTACGAAAAAAAAACTTTGTGTTGTAGCTTAACGTATCACAATCGAAGGCCTCCTCGAGCTTAATGCTGAAGCGCCGACCTTCTACCAAGTGAGGCCTGTCGCAGAAAACCCGGTTGTCGCCGCACCAGGAGCACTCCCCGGGACCTTCTTCGTCCGTCGACATTTCCTATGTTCATAATTCAAAGATTAAACTTGAACAATTAAATATATGTACTACAAAAACTAAATTAGACCATTATTATTCATCACGGGTTGACTATCGGTTTGTCGAGTCTTTTCTTGAAAACTCTCAGCTCACGTGGTGTATATATTCGACCGTCAATGATGGTAGCTCCTCCTTTAGTTCACGAGTGCATTACACCAAATTGTCTAGCACACATGAACAAAGGAGAAGCTACCCCCATGACAACAGTCCGGATTCTTCATCCTCTCATATATAGTGGAGACTCTCCCTCACTGATTCCTCTCTGACATTTGTGACCGTCGGTGATGGTCGTTACTCCTCCTTCCCCTAGTGCATAACAAAGGTTTAGCACAAGGAGAAGAAGGAGAAACGTCCCCCACGACAACAGTCGGGATTCTTCGACCTCAACAGACTTAAAGTCAACCCGAAATATCGTTTAATTATCTTTCTAGAAAATCCAGACCACTCGATATTTCCTACATATTCTAGCACAAGTCATGCCAAAATTCACGGGAAATTCCGGCATGGCCTTTGCTAAAAAAGGACATATCGAGCGCCTAAAATTTGCCAAAACGGAAATTAATCAACACTCCGGCAAAACATAGGCCACTCGGAGGTGTAACCTGCAAACATGACCGGCCACTTGGGCAACCACATATCCTATTTGAGTAACACAAGATATTCATATTTTTATCTACATCATATCTTATAGGACTCATATTCACATGGAGATTTGGCTGGTCTCACCTCGAGGTCGGAGGGGGTCGGTGACGGGGACGACATCAGGGATGATGGAGGGGCTCCTAGATTTCTGCAAAAACAAAAACCCTGTAAGTTATCACTAATACATCTCGAATAGTATCATACATATAACATCACTAATACAACTAAAACCCTAGCGAACGACAGGTATCAACGACGAGGATGCGGGATAGGCATCGTCGACGTCGATGCGGGAATAATTGCTTAAACTAAAAAAACAACAACAAATGTGACATGTTCAACTAGTTCTATTAATTCA